CTACGGGTTTTTGACGCCCGTGTTCGTCTTATCGCGACACGCGGCACCCCTCAATTAAGAGGTGCTGCTCGTCCACGAATGTTATACCAGGCTCCGAGGGCCCCCGGGGTCCCCGGGACCACACAGCGGGAGCTACCTGCTGGGCCTAAGCTATCGGCCGGATCGCGCCCATAAAAATTAAACGTCGCCAGATAAATAAACGTCAATCGGGAATTAAGATAGGCGCCGCCGGTAGCGTGGATCCTCATGCGCTTTTTCCCTCCCCCTCCCTACTCCACCCGTTAGGAATTTTTCCCTAGAGACGTATCCGAGAGTGGACGATAGATAAGCGACATCACAGATACATCGACTTCTGATATATCGTCAGTTCAATTTTCGGCTTGGGAAAAAGAGAATCTGTGCACGCATCTATCTCTCTTTTTCTTTCTTTCGTTGAATGTATCGTTACTGGACATTACCGAACGATCATACTTGATCTCGAATACGTGATGTAATCAGGTAATTTCATCTGTTTTAGAACAGTGTTCTTCAGCGAAATTATTTTTTACGTCACAAATATGTTATAAAACGTTACAAATAAAACGTTACTTATAAATACGAAATGTTGCAAAGCAAATCTTTAATTTAATAAGATGTATTACAAAATATGAACGAAAAGTATATGTATGTTATAATTTTTATAGATATTTTAGTTAGATGTTGTTTCTACTATTTTCCAATTGTTTTATTCAAATAAAAGATAAGAATCAGTTAAAAGCCATCAGATATTTTATTATAAGTTTTTATTACTCTTAAAAGAAAAACCCTATTTATTCCCTTTTTATATTCTCATATAATTATTTTTTATAAACTTTCGAACTTTTTAAAGAACAACTCAAAAATTCAAGATTCAGTAGCTAGACTCCACGTGTTCCTTAAAACCTTTCTAGTCAAGACGGGTGGCCTAGAAAGTCGTATATTTCTTCCGCCTAGATTCCTAACCGCGATCTGTCTTCAGCTTGTAACAGATAATAGCTTCAACGTGTGTCAATGGACCTATGTCTTGCAAAGTCTAGATCTGTAAGGAATGAGATATTATGTTAAAAATTAGAAACAATAGATTAATATTTTGTTTTTTTACCTCTGCACACAATTTAAAAATTTATTTAAAACTAATAAATTCTAATAAAAAAAAGACAAAAAGAATTTATCAATTTTAAGGCCTCGAGTCTTTTTTGATCCAAGAGATGGAAATATATATTTTTTTAAATAAATACGATATATTTAGACTTTTAGTTCAAACAAATCGAAAAATAACAATAAGAAACAGATAACAAATAACAGATAACAATATATAAATAATAATTTAACAGCAATAGTATAATATCATTTTCTAGTAATGATAATTCAATAAGATCATAATTATGAAAATAGAAATACTACAAGGAGTATAATCACTATAAAGGAGTATATCACTATAAAATAGTTTAATGGTATAACGGTTACATGGGACTTCTTAGCTGTCCACTAACAGAGTTACACATAAATGACGATGGCGAGAATTGTCACCCGGAACGACCAGCTAACACACTGCTGCCCCTGTCATCGATCCACACCATCCAATAATATATTGAAGAGATTTGTATACCTGCTATTCAACCTTTTCCCAACAGGGGCCCCACCGTTTTTGAGGCATAATTTTGGATTACTCTGAATGTTTTGCAATATAAAGTGATTTTCATTCAATAAACTGATTTTTATTATGGTATAAGTTTTTCTTTTTTATATAAATAAGTTTTTTTATCTTATTCGAATAATAATTCTAATTTATGAATGCAATTAATCAACGACTCATTCAAAATAGAAGACATGAAAAGAAATTGCAACATCTGACAAATGTCACGAAATAATAATTTTGTACAGATACAAGAATAGAAAATCATCGTTGGGACAATAGCTACAAATTTTTTACAATGCAATATTATGAATTTTACAATTACCTGACGAAGTGTATAATCGAACACTGTCGTATTTTATAAGGCAATCCCGTCTTTAGACTTTAGAGTGAGACAAGGTCATAAGTGCCAGATGGAACACAAGTTAACCAGCTGCAGCAGTGCTGCATAAGCTTCAACGCTGTGAACCAATTCGCAGTTGTGCTCTCAATTAAAGTACGGAAATTAAAGCCACGGAAATTAAATATATTTAAGTATATATATTCAAAAATTTATGGATATATCTCCAACGTCCAAGAAAATAAATTAGAAAATTAATTAAATTCAAATTTTTATCAAGAAAAAATAATTATTTTTAAATAAAATATAATTATATGTATTACGAGAACTAAAACTAAAAAAATATCATGAATTATGTACAGCGAGAAATATCATAACTAAATGAACTTGTCTTTGTGTCTCCACATTTAATTATCGTGATTTTGTGTAATATTACATATAACAAATTTTTTTACGCTTACTTTCAAACGATAATACGATACCGAATAAAAGTTACGTAAACGCTTAGATTTCTGAAAAATCCAAAAATAAATGAAAGAACTGAGCACGATGCTAAGTTACTTAATTAAACTATCGCTTTATTTATTCGGGCCGACGGGCTGTCTCGTTAATAATATACTATCTCTCGGATCTCACGAGCGAATGGCGATCGTCAGGCATCCCCGGCGGTGTCGTGCTTAATTCGATCATCGATCGCCAGGCGTGGATTCCACGCGCGTCCGCATTTAACGTTTTACCTGAGAGAGGCCCTCGATGATCCTGCATCGAATCTCGATCGATAGGATTGATGGCGATATCTAGATCGCGAGAGAACGGTGGAAAGGAGAGGGCGAAGGGAGGAGACGAAATCGAGAGACGATTGGCTCGTCATAGCAGTGAGGCTTTAATTAAGGAAACACATTGCCACTAATATCTGACGGACAGTGTCAATCTGTCAGACTACCATAAGACACCGATCGGATAATGGACTTTTAGAGACCAGCACAGACTATTGGACACGCTGTTTTCGATTTAGTTCATGGCCAATCATCCGGAATTAATATATCGGATGGCTAATTGAGCGAACAAACCACGCGGACAGCTTCGCCTTTTCGTCGGGTGCTTCAGGTTCAGCTTTACCACACGGTGAAAAAAGTGGCTGTATTGATCATGTGTCAGAACGGATCTATAGATCGATCGACAACGGCATGATCAAGATCAAGATGAAATTCGTTCGCGCTTGCCTATCGATTCCCACAGTTCGCGAAACGATAAATTTATTGTTCGCAAAATCAACGAGGACAATGTTCTTTGATAGAAGTACACATTCGAGATAAAAACTGGCAGAATTTTATTGGCGTTTTCTTGCACTATATTGAAGTCTCCCATTACCATGAATAGTTTTGGATAAAATAAATTTTCTTTTTGTTTCATTCATCATTCTCGTTTTTTTTTGGCATTAATTGCTGACAAAAAACAAGGAAGTCACAGAAAAAAATTAATTTTTTAATAAATAATAATTACACGAATGCCAACGTGATATAAGCGGTCTATAATAATATAGCTCGTGGAACTTCCATTTCCAATTAACATTTCATTAAGTATCCTTGTTGGCAATGGCGATCACATTATCATTATTATCATATTACTACACGCTACCATTTGCTGTGACACCTTGCAGTTTGATTTCATAGTCGTATACGTGTCGAAACGATCTCAACATTAAAGAGAGTAGTCATTATCTTTTTCCTAGCCACCGAAGTTATATCTAGAATCTCCCATTAAGGCTAATTTAAAAATAATTACCACTTATTCGTCCGTAACGTATCCTAACTCGAAAAAGACTCACAATTTTAAAAAATAAAATACAAAGAAAACTGTGCACCCTCCAAGTTGTAAAATAAAATAAATTCCTTTATAATTATTAGTATTACTATAATATATTACAATAACAAATTTATATTATACAAAAAATATTGACATTTTCCTGTTATATAATATATATAATATTTTTAAAAATAAATTGAACATTCGAAAAAACTCTATAAGAATGTAATTTAGACAAGCGCATAAAATGTGTAACAATGTAAAAGAACAATTTTAAATAATTTTAATATTTTCCATCAAATAAAGATTCATTATTCTGATTGAAAACACGAAAATACCAAAGCCATTGTTGCACATCGTGTTTCACGACCGTTAATACACTCGGTATTGAGTGGTCAACGTCATGCTGTACACGCGGAGGAATCCCTTAAAGGCTCCGCGCGTAGAAAGGTCCTTAAAGATCCTAAAGGGGTAGCCCATTTTGGAGGTGTGTCGATCAGGCATCGGCATTTAATCGTAACGAATCGCCCTCAGGCCCCGTAGGGGAGTGTGTAATCGACATCCGGTTCGCCTAATGTTGAACGAGTAGCGCCCTGTAATCTGCCGCTAGCGTGTGCATTGTCGTGCGCGGGCCCTTTTCTCGCTCCTGAAAGGGGCACCATGGGACCGGAGATCCCTTTTTCGGTGAGAGGGCGAAGCCGGGGCCCGGAATAGCGTCTGCTCGACCTTGCGCCCATGACTCGCGAATAATGCGACCGGATTCACGAATTTACGGTATCGAGTATCCGACATGCGCAAAAAGCCGCGAGCTAAACACGCGCAAATGTTTAGACGCTGTTTGTTTATTATAAAATAAAAAATATTATTCCTCAATTTAAATCTGTTTAAATATTAAAAGAAAGTTAGAGAATACAAAAAGAGCTTATAGAATACAGAAGAATATTCGCTAAGTTTAATAGAGATATATATATATATATATATATATATATATATATATATATATATATAATAATAAATAAAGTAAATA